CCAGACAGCAAGATGCCCAAGGATCATTGGAGGTGGCCCAAGTTTTGAATCTTCTGGTGGAGTCAGAAGGAATTAAGGAGCAAAGACAAACCCGAGTGGCTACCAAACGCAAGGAACAAGAACTAAAGCAGCAACAAGCCCAGCAACAAGCCCAGACAACGATTCAAGAAACCATAAATATCAACTCAGAAGCAGTGGGAGGAGCTAGACCGAAAATCAAACTACAGGATTTCCAGGTGGCTCTTAAAAAGCTTCAGGGAGCTAAAGATGACAATTAAATTTTTAACTTGGAATGTCAATGGCTTAAACTCACCACAGAAAAGGAAAAAAATATATACTACTATCTGAAACAATTTAAAAATGACATAATTTGTCTGCAAGAAACACATATTAGAACAAATGACCAGAAATATTTGATGAATGCAAGATTGGGACAACATTTTGCGACCTCCGCTTCGGAGAAGAAAAATTGTGTAGTTATATACCTAAGAAAGGATATAAAGGCTGAATTAATTGAAGCAGACTCTCAAGGAAGATATATTGCAATTGAACTACTATTAGAAGGAAAAAAAGATACTCTTAATGGGAGTATATGCCCCCAATCAACAACAAGAAAAATTTTATAAGATGTTCCATACCAAGTTAATACAATGGGATTATAGATTGTGTATATTACTGGGTGATTGGAATGGAGTATTGGACACTAAGAAAGACAAGAAGAGTCTATTGCAAAATACTCAAACACGTGCAAGATTACCTAAGTCTTTCTTTGATATGATGGACGATATTGACCTAAGAGACATCTGGCGGGAAAGGAATGCTAAAGAGCCGGGCTTCCTTTTCTAAGCATGGGGAGACGGATGGTATTTTGTGCCATCTGTCTCCCCGTGCTCAGAAAAGCAACTCCGGGAAGGTCCTTTGGTGGCGGCAGGCGTCCTAGAACTTGCCTGCTAACAAAGGACTTAGCCGGGCTTCCTTTTCTGAGCACGGGGAGACGGACGGTATTTTGCGCCGGCCGCGCTGCGTCCCCAAGCCCTCCCGTGCTGTGTTTTGCTGGAGGCAGATGGCAGCAGCAGCAGCAGCAACAGCAGCAGGAGGAAGCCGGAGCTTGTCGAGCCGCCACGGCGAGGGGTCCCTGGAGGAGGCGAGATCCTTGAGAGAGGGTGAGTGCGAGCAAGTTCCACCTGAGGGAAGGCGAGAAGGCGCGAGGAGGGAGCTTGGGCAGCTGCCACAAGTTTGCTGTGGGGACTCTCTGCTCTTGTCAGTTTTAGAGGGGGAGGGAAAGAGGCGGAGAAGGTGCCTCGGCTGGGACTCGGTCTGCCCCGGTCTCATGGGTTGCCCTAAGGTTTGGCGGCAGTGTCTCTATAGTAACGCCACAGCTGTGGGGCTCTTTGAATGGGAAGCTACACACCGGCAGCAACAGCTCCCAAGCAGCCGCCTGGTCCCTCTTGTTGCTCACGTCTCTCTGCGCTGTTCGACTTCCTCTTTTGTAGCCTACCTTTTTTCGCCCCCTTTTTCCCTCCAGCTTTCTGCATGCGAGCGAGCGGACGAGATCAATGAGAATTTTTAAAAAAGGCAACAGGCCTGAAAGTCCTATTTATAATTTGATTCGGAGATTTGCGAGCCGCTTTTATGGATGGCTAAGAGGCTCTCTGGCTTCTTGCCTCTGATGATATGTAAATCCCCCCACTTTTTTTTTTTTAGTTTTCTTGTCCCCTGGTGCTTTCTGAAACAAGTCAGGGAGGTAGTGAACTGTGCAAACATTTCATTGTGGTTATTGTCAGAATGCTCACAGTGTATCTATTTATGTTGTTAAAAACATTTTTTTTAAAAAAGAGCGAAATTGGTGGGATGTTAATGCCCCCCCCAAAAAAAACGTTTCCACAGGAAATGCTAGCATTCTCTGCTGAAGTCCGTGCAATAAAGAAATTGTCCTCAGAAATAATCATTGTTGACAATTCTCAATGTTACTTTGAGCAAAACTCTCAGATGTAATTGGTTTTTCCTGTTGCATGTTATGCTTGCANTCAAATTTGTTTTCAGTATGCGCAAGAACGGAGCAGGCACTATCTTTCAACACTTAGAAGTCCAACAATAAGCTTTTTTTCTTAAATCAAGTTGCGCTGACTTGCCCTTTCTAGAGCTAAGTGTATTGATTTACCCAAGCAAACAGGAATGCTTTGTAAGGTGAGGAGAGCCACTTACCACCCCCCCCATTGAACTTTGCTAAACAGGGCGCCCCACTCGCCTTTTGCCCCTCAGTAAAAAAAAAAAAAAAAACAGCAGGAAGGAGAGCGTGTGCTTACCTGGAGAGAGCCACATCGCTCGGGGCTGTGCATGTCTGACCGTCCATTTCTCTTTAAGATGGCTGGTAAAACCTGGAGGAGGGGTGAAGGAAAGAGAGAATGTGGAGTCGCCTTTCAGGGACACTGAAGTGGCGGGAAACCAGCACCGCCACCAGAGTCTAAAGCTTTCGGTGGCTCCAGACAGGTGAGGCGGGGAGCAGAGACGCAGGTGGTTTCCTTCGCTCCCCTTGCAAGGGAGTAGTAGGCGTAGTTTTTACATTCCTGCCTCCACTGGACTTCAACCTGGTATCAGCTATCTGGGCTCTCCTCGGCTCCTCGTGACTGCAATAGATGTCCAGAAGTGGCGGGGGCTGTCGGGCTGGAAACCCAAGCCCCTTTAGCCACTTCTGGACGCCTATTGCAGTTGCGAGGAGCCAAGGAGAGCATGGAGAAGAGCACAAAGGTTCTCAGCGCTCCGGGAAGCCGAGAATGCGGCTAGGAGAGGCACGCGGCTTGGTTTAGCCTCCCTGGATGTCGCAGCAGCAGCTCCAAGTGCGCCAATCTCAGTGTTTTTCGCATCGGGGTGTGCTGCAAGAGGAAGGGAGTGAAGACCTTTTCTGGATTGCTGGTGGTGGAGGTGCGGGCCTGTTGTCCCGTGCTCAGCAAAGCAAATCCGGGGAAGTCCTTTGTGCTAGCCGGAAAAGGTCTTCACTCACTCCCTCTTGCAGCATGCCCCGATGTGAAAAATGCTGAGATCAGTGCGCTTGGGGCTGCTGCTGCGACGTCCAGGGAGGCTAAACCAAGCCACGCGCCTCTCCCAGCCACTTTCGTGGCATCCTGGAGTGCTGAGAACCTTTGCACTCTTCACGGTCTCCTCGGCTCCTTGCGACTGCAATAGACATCCAGAAGAGGCTTTGGGGGCTAATGGGACTTGGGTTTCCAGGCTGTCGGGCTGAAGGATACCCAGGTATTTGTAGTAATCATCTTCACCCAGACTCTTAATGTTATCTTGATTCCTTCAGTTTTCACAATTTTTCCTTGTTTGATAGTAAGTGTGGCACATTTCTACAATCCAAACTCCATTGTAATAGCTTGGCTATATATATGTTCAGTGTTGAGCAGTGATTCTATTTCAGATTTCCATACAGCTTCAGATTGTCCATGTAAAGGATGTGGGATAGTCTGGCAAATGTTTTTGATGTTTGATAGCCATGGCTTGAGTTATTCAGTATTGTTGACAGAGGAAACGATGTCTGACGTTTCTACCTGTGTTTCCCTGAAAATAAGACCATGTCTTATATATAGTTTTTTGGACTAAAAGACCCATTAGGTCTTATTTTTAGGGGATGCCTTATTTTGTGGCCACCCGCCCACTCCCTCCCACGGATGCAATGGCTTACAGGGCTTTATTTTAAAAAAAAAATTTTTTTGTNGTGGCACCGTAGGCTTTGACGGACATCTCTCTGGGATGTTCCAGCCCTGAGATCGCGTTTAGCTGCCAGAACAGCATACATCAACTGTCTGACAGTTTGAAAACTCTCTCCTCGGGAAAAGAGGGGGAGGAGAGTTGCTGAGCATGGGTAGAGCTCTCTTAAACCCCCAGGAGCAATTTCTGGGGCTTGGAAGGTGTGAGCCCCCCTGTAGCTCGACATACTCCGCTGTCAGGAGGCATCTGCTTTCAGCAGAACAAAGAGCCACATCCACACCTGCAATCAATGTTTTGATCTACATTTGAATAAGAAGAGGCAGTGCAAATACTGGAGAGTTTCACAATTGCAAGTATTTCTAAACTTTAACTCCGATTTACAAGAATTCCTTCTGTTAAAATTAATGAGATAGAAGTGAAAATGGCGCCCAATTATTAAGGTGTGGCTGAAACGAAACTTAAGCAATTACATCTTAAGTGCTTTCTAATGTAGTTAAAAGAACTAAGAGTTTAAGACCACTCAAAACAGCATTGATTTACTAACAAGCTACAAGATTTAATAATTGGACTAAGTTATTTGTTTGGACTTAACAACTTGGTGGAAGAGAAGTTTAATTGAATAGTTAAAATGGCTTCAAAACAAGTTAGAACAACAACCACTTCAAAGAGCGCTGGCAGTTCTCCAGCCCCGACTAATAAATTACAGTCACTTTTACCTCCCCCTGTTACTGAGGCTTTAACTCTTGATATGCTGCAAGGAGCCTTAAAAGACGTTTTAAAGGAACAGGCTGCAGCTATAGAACTCAAAATAGAGGAAAAAGTTACATCTGCCTTTAAGGAGGTCTCGGAGGAAATATCTAGCATCAAGGACCTAATTCAGACTCGTAACTAGCAAATAAGAGAGGATATAGTGCAAGCCTTTAAAGGTTTGGCTGGCTATGTATCCTCATTACATGATAGAGTGGAAGAAATTAATCAGTCTACTATCAATTTAGAATGTAAAGTTGAAGAAGTTCAAAATAAGACTGATAAATCAGAAGCAGAAATCACAATGATACAATACAGAGCGATAGAATTTGCTTTGAGAATAAGAGGCCTTAAAGAGAACAACCAAGAAAATTTGAAGGAGATTCTTGCAGAAGCCTTTGACCAATTAGTTGGTCAACCTAGAGCTGGGTATGACTGGCAAATGGACAAAATATACCATGTTAATTCATGGATTGTCAGACAGAAACAATCACCAAGAGATATTGTCATCTACTTTGCTACTAGGAATACAAGGAACCTGATATTACAAGAGTCCTATAAAACTAAGTTGCAGATTGCAGGCCAAGAAGTGACAGTTTTGAAGGAAATTCCACCAAAAATGTTGAAGTCCAGGAAAGACTATGCATTCCTAGTGGATGAACCTAAAAATCACCAGATACAATATAGATGGGAAGTCCCAGCCGGATTAGTGGTGAATTACTTGGGACAAAGACACCGTCTTAATTCAGTTTGGAAGGCCAGAGATTTCTACAGCAACGTACTAAAGGCTGGTTACCCACCATCTCCAGGATTCAGAGAAAGGGAACAAGCAGGAGAGGCTAGACAGTAAGATACCCAAGGATCACTGGATGTGGCCCAAGCTCTGAATCTTCTTGTGGAGAAAGAAGGAATTAAGGAGCAAAGACAAACCCGAGCGGCTACCAAACGCAAGGAACAAGAATTAAAGATGCAACAAGCCCAGACAACAACTCAAGAAACACCAACACAGAAGACATGGGAGGAGCTAGACCGAAAATTAAATTACAGGATTTTCAGGTGGCTCTTAAAAAGCTTCAGGGAGCTGAAGATGACAACTAATTTTTTAATCTGGAATGTCAATGGTTTAAATTCACCACAAAAAAGGAAAAAAAATATATCACTATTTGAAACTATTTTAAAACGATGTAATTTGCCTGCAAGAAACACATATTACAATAAATGATCAGAAATACTTGATGAATGCAAGATGGGGACAACACTTTGTAGCTTCTGCCCCGGAGAAAAAAACGGCATAGTTATATACTTAAGAAGGGACATAAAGGCTGAATTAATTGAAGCAGACTCTCAAGGAAGATATATTGCAATTGAACTACTATTAGAAGGAAAAAAGATACTCTTAATGGGAGTTTACGCCCCCAATCAACAAAAAGAAAATTTTTATAAGTTGCTCCATACCAAGTTAACACAATGGGATTACAGATCGTGTATATTACTGGGTGATTGCAATGGAGTATTGGATACCAAGAAAGACAAGAAGAGTCTACTACAAAATATTCAAGCACGTG